TTTTTTTTTTTAATTCTCCAAAACAGTTTTGGCCTCGGCAGTATTTGTAGGACAGCAGCAAGCCCTGTAAAAAGAACCACAAAGGTAAAAATTAAACTAAGACAATTTAATTTTATTATCACAAACCTTGTAGAGTAGGTTACATGCAGTCTGAAAATACTTTGATTTTGTTGTTGTAGTTTTCTGTTTAGTTTTAAGGATTTTAAAGTCGTACTCCTTGAAGGGAAGGATGACTATTTTGATGATTTACTGGTATCGGTACTGACATCTTGCTGATGTCAATATTTTATAAACGTATATATGCAACTTAGTTACAAGATAATGCTTTTAAAGCCCCTCCAATCCATACAGATTGTCTGAGGAAAAAATCTGTTCAGAAATTCCTACGATGGAGATGAGACTTGATTGCTTTCATGTATCACTTAATCTCCCAGGATCCAGTCCTTGTTAAACTTTACCTTATGTATCATCACTAAAGTAGTCAATGATTAGTACAGATACTGCAGTCTCTGCTGCAACTCTGAACTTAAAGTTACAGAATGTCCATATATCTGGATAGCCAGTTTATGCAGATGCACAAAATTGTGGAGGTGACTATACTACTAATACTGGAAAACACAGCAACTTTTCATTAATTAGTTGTTATTTTCAGACTGAGTCCTTCACCTGTTCTCCTAGAAATGCTATATATAGTTTACATAGCTGATTGAACACTTAGTTCTGTACCTGCTGCATATTGTATTAATCCCCTGTCTTCAGTTTCAATACTTTATGCTGTTGGCTGCCTGGTGCCCAATTAATTACAGGTTTACTTGTCCTGGTACATGTGACATCTGCATTGACCTATGCCATGTCCCTGATGATTTCAGTTATTTGGTTTTATGTTTTAACTTTGTGATTGCGTTTAATTCATACAGGTATAAATTTATCCATTTGTTTTTTCTCATAGATATAAAGTATTTTGTAAGCACTGGAATTTTTCATTAGATCTTATACAGAGCAGTATTTTACTAAAAATCCAAAAGGGAAGACTTTTATGTGCGCATTTTTGTAGTTTCTGATTTTTTTAAAATAACTTTTCATTGTTTATCTGCCAAGTGAAATGTTTTAAATTTGCATATGAATGGATACAGAATGTATTTTTTGTGCTGTTTAGTGTTAAGTGTGCATTTGCAGATTTTTAGCATGTAGTTGCACAAAGGACTGTGCAAAGATATTTTAAAATATGAATATATCATACACTGAAGGAAAAACATAAGAGTTAAATGCTATATAAAACTTTAATGCAATAGAATAATTTTATAAATTGTGTCTGTGTCTGTTTGGATTAAATATTGAAACAAGAAATGTTACTTATTTTCACTGTTTTTTTTTGGTTTGGTTTTTTTTCAAATATGGGAATTTCAAATGGGAACTTCTCTGTGCTCCAAATTGAAAGTTTCAGATATATGTTAAACGTCTCAAAATCCAGTTTCTGAGAGTCCCAGAAAGAGCAACTGCTCACCTCCTCAGAGCTATTTTTTGATGTCTTTCAGCTGCTACTCAGCTAAAGATACAGATTTGGCTATGAAAGCTGTTTGTTGCTTTGCAGTCTAAAGCATTCAACTGGTTACTTATCCAAAATTTCTTTGAGCTCTGTCACTCATTAGATTAAAGAAAGGTAGCACTTGAAAAGGCGGAGATTATTCCAGCAAGGTCAGGGCTACTGGTTCTTAGCATAGTGCAAAACCAGCTGATGACTGAAAAGTAGGAGGAGACCCTATTACCTGGGTGTAACTGACACTCCCTAATTTTTTTTTTCTCTCCCCCCTCTAGCTGGAGTCAAACACTGCTACTATTTCTGCTGGAGTAGAGTAGGAGTAGTTGCATCATCTGTGGCAAGGCCTCTGAATGAAACATACCGAAGTGTGCACTAATACAATGTAATGTGCTTAAACTTCAAGGGAGGAAAAAGCAAATAGTATTTTATAATTAGATTTTACCATCAAAAGTATTTTATAATAGCAGACTTTTAAAGTTCAGAATGGCCAAACTACTTATGAGTCGTCATTCTCACTGTAGAGAGGTTAAATATTCAATTACAATACAAGGAGATTTGCCACATGCTGGAGTTTTTTTCAAATTTTTGACCAATAGCTTCCAAGGGTATGTTGGAACTGTACTTGTTGTTCCTTTTTAAAACATAATGAGCACTAGTCATGCTGGTTCATTTTACTGTCTTTGGTTGTGACTCGTTAGCTTTGTTAGGATCTGTCACTGCCCACCACAGAACTGGATTTTCATGTACAGAGATGTTACTTGCTATCTCGCAATTTATTCAGTGAATTAGCTTGTTTCAAATTACTAGTGAACACTGGAGGACACTAATGTGACCAACTTTGTGTAGCAATATTATGTATGGAACAGCAGTAAAGGATTAGTATATGCATTCAGGTCGTATGACTCAACATAAAGATATCAAGATATGAACTTGCATTTCTAAAGTTGTCTTCAAATTATTAGGCCATGGACTTCAATAATCTTGTATGGCAAGTTTTGCACTGTTACTTTGCCTATCTTAACCAAGAGCACTACAGAAAATTAAGACAAATTAAGTAAAGGGATAACTTTAAAATTTATCAATTTATGTATAAGAAATTTTGCATGGATATTCCCTCTAAAAAGTGAAGTGACTTTGCTTAGTTTTGTTTAGTTCAGTTGAACTATAATATAAATGGCCCATGGGAGTGAGGAAGCTCAAAGAAGAAATGGCTCTTTTTACACTAAAGGAATTTTATTTTGTTATGATCTCCATATGTATTCCATAATCAGCCTTCCTTTACTACTGAGAGACAGTTATGTTCTTCTCTTTCTGTCTGTGGAAAGGGGACACAGTGACACCAAGGGCATAAGGGCAGTCTGAATACACAGTTGACCAAAAGAATCCAAATTCAGTTGAATGAGGATCCATGAATATTGAGAGTATAGCTGATATGTATTTCGAAGAAGTGGCTGTTGTGAGGTAAGTAGCTGTTGTTAATATATTAACAAAAGAATCCATAGTTTTGGTACAACAACAGTCTATTGCTGACAATTTTTGAAGTATTACACTTATTTTTCTAAATTTTAAAACTTCCTGTTTCATTCCTGCTTTGAAAGGCAAGTCAAAGAGAACAAATTTACTCCAAATGTTATCAGTGCCAACAGGATAGAGAAGGCTGTTTTTTTGGGTTTTTTTTTTTTGAGGAACTTTGTTATTGTTGTTTGGGTTTTTTTCTTAAGTAAAACTTAGTTCAAAATTACTTCAGCAACATTGCTCTATGAAAGTTAATGAGCACTCTTAGTTCTGCATATACTGTAGTGAAAAGAAAAATGAAGGCCAGCAAAAAAAAAAGTCAACATGTAATTTCTGTAGCAGGAACCATAGCAACAAAATTCAAAGTCAGCAACTTTTGGCATGGTGAAGGTACAGGATGAAGGAAGAAAATACGTAATTCTAATGCAGGTAAGTGATCGACATAAGTAACCTGTGCATATCTTAAATTCAACACTCATTTGGGATATAACTGAGACATTATTTTAAGCTCCTGAAATTTCTGTTAGTACATATTTTCTGGAAAGTGTTGAAACATTTTGACAGGCTATTGCTTCCCTGCAGAACACTCAGTGCAGAACACTGCAGGCTACCGAAGCCTCTGAGTTTACTAATCTGACATTCAGGTGGTTCATTCTTTTCTAGTTTTCTTGTGTTTCAGACTTGTCCTATTCTCTTTCTTTCTTCCCTATACTTAAGCTTCACTGATGGCCATCTACTTCTCTATTTTAGACGCTTTCTGTGGGCTTGAAATAGGTGCTGTTTTAAAGTGTTCAGTGTGTGCGTGTATGTACATGCACACATACCAACATGTATAGAGGAATCTGGCTTTCTTTTTTTAAAAGCTGTTCATAGTTCTGTCTTTTATAGTCCCTATTGCTGTTTCAGCACAAATTCCTTATGACTATCAACCTCTGAATGTCTCTCTATCTTGCATATGCATGCTGAGCACTCCATCCCTCGAGGCCTGTATTGTACAACAAGAAGTAGGAGTTACTCAGAGTGGATTAAAAATACAGGCACTTGTTTTGACAGATGACTCTTTTAAAAAAGTTGAGTGTTTTAAAACTTTACTGTCCAAAAGTCCACCCCTTTTTCTGTGAAAGGTTACATCTCTATCACAGACCAGGAGAAGGGAAAGGTTTTGCACTAGGACGACTGAGGCACAGGCCAACCTACGTGGACACAGTTTTGATGTGTAACTCTCCAGTGAAAATGCTGGTTTGACCAGTCTCTTATTATTTGTTCCCACTCCCACTTAATTGTACAAAGCTATTTTAGTATGGTCACCTTATGAACCAAATCAAGGTATTCATCTGACTGAAACTTTTTTCGCTGTGTTATTTTTCAGCCTGCTCAGTTCACCGTGGAACGGCTGTATTGATACAACATTTATCAGTGTGAGGGCAGGACTCTAGCAGTTGCTCAAAAGAAACATCCCCGTCACTGCCTGTAACTCACATCATCTATGAAGCTAAAATGCTAGATAAGCTGGTGTTGTATGTGAATCTTTCTGCTGACTTTAAGGAGGGTGGTAACTTCTGGCAGGGGAACAGGAAGAACTGTTGGGAATGGTCATATGCTAAATTAATACAGAAAAAATTTTCCCAAAACTCATCACTTTCATTTTGGGTCATACGGTTACTTGCTATGGAAAGCATTAAAAAAATGTATGTGGGCTGCATATACTAATTTCTATTTCTCCATTGCCTTAGGCTGAGGCAACGGAAAAATAGAAATTAGTGAACTGTTTTCCTACTTAAATGAAAATTGATTAAAGACACCTGAGGTTGTCTTACATAATGATTAAGCTAGTAAATTTAGAGCTAAAGAAGTAAAATACCAAGTAGATTTCCCTCTTAGACTACAGTAGCTCTCCTTGATTTCAGGGCATATTTGATTTGTACAAGAAGCCTAAAGGTATGGGAAGAGGCTTATACTTAACAGCCACACACAGAAAAATGCATCCAGGAGTACTTCAAAGTGTTGATATTCTTTCCTGTTCCATATACATTTTAATTACTAATTTGGAAAGGGTTCTCTTTTTAGTAGTTGGGATCTTTAGCACTCCATTTCTCAAAGTCTATCCTAATAACTGGGGGCAAGATGGTTTGGTGCCTTCTAAGGTGTACTTCTTGCTGACTGAGACATGCTGAGCATGGTGATGTTGCATACAAATATTCGGTGTAAATTATGCATGATGCAGGTTTGGTCATTTCTGCCCGAGATGGTGATGATGTCCCTGATGTTCTGTTGTTTGGGTGGTTTTACTTAATAACTCCTCTCCTTTGATGCAGCATTGGATGCCTCTCCAGTGCATCCACTCCTTCATTTGATTTGATATTCCGGTAAAAGATATGACCTGTCACACTTTCCAGAGACCAAAGAAACTGATGATTTCAACACAGAAGATGCAGGAGTATGGCAGATAGCTGCTGCAGTGATTGGTATGTGACTCCAGGCGCGAGAGTTCTTTACCCAGTGGAGTAGTGATAGGGCTGATGCATGCTCTTAATCAAACTGCAAGACCAGGATGATTGCTTTGTAGAGGCTGTACAGGTTAGCTTATCAGTGCTGCAGTGCAGTGTAAAATAGCTTTGGAAGGTGTCTGTTCATTCTCACTGCAAATGAGTGTGTTCTGGTCTGTGTTAAGTTCAGGTTGGGGGTTTAGCCATATAGATGATTGAAAAACCCTCATAATCTTTTCTATGAGGGCAATAGAGATATGGAATAAGGAAATAGTGCCTTACTCCAACAGTGTGGAGGCGTTATAATATTTATGGCAAAATCATGTAAGCTAATTCCAGACAAATCATGTATGGACAAGCTCTGTATATTGGAAAAACTGTTGATGTCTTTATTGCATTGCTTGTGTGACACTGCAATTAGAATGAGAATATAGAATTTATATTTCATCAGTCTCTTTATGTTGAGCAATTGTAATGCACGCCATCTAACTGAGATTGATTATAGAGGACTGCAGCTACACAAGTTAGGTCATGTTGCTGTCTTTCTGAAGTTTGTATGGTATTTCTTTTCAAGTGCATCTAAGGTTGTATTAATATATGGAACAGGGGTTAAGGTTTGAATGAAGATGTGGTCACGGTCATTTCCCTGCAGTATGGTGAATAAGAAGAGTATGTATTGGTAAATGAAGACAGAGAAAAAAAAAAAAAAGTAATTTGCACTTCTGCTTTTTTTTTTTGAGGTCTGAAGTTCTGTTTTGTCTTGCAAAGAAATGTCCTCACTTATATTTGTATACTAAAACATTTGCTTTAGAGGTTGGAGAACTGAAGAGGGTTGTTCATGGTACAACTTTTTTGAAGAGAGACTAAGTAAGAGTCCAAGAGGAAAAAGTTTTACATATACTTCGCCTTTTCTATTAAATGATTAATGATTTTAATGATTATTATATAATGTGCCAGCACCCTTGATTTCATGTCTCAATGAGTAGTCCTGGCTGCTCCTCTTCAGTAGTAGCCTTGGCTTTCACTGTGAAGGGGCCATTTCTGTCATGGTTCCCTTTTGCCATTCCAAAATTTATTTATTTTTCTTTAAGTGGCACATGTGAATTTGTGGAAATGCCGTTTGCAATTTAATCCCCTCACGGGGTAATTGGCCACCCACACAGATAGCTTGCAAGAGCAGCTGTGCGGAGCCGCTCCTGCCAACTCTGGCCTCTCGGCAGCTCTCCTTTTGGTGCCGCTCTAGGCAGGGTTGAGCTTAGCCTGGGTGTTCGCTCACAGAGGGAATAAACATTTGTTAAATGTTTATTAAAGGCACGAAGATATTTTTTTCAGTGGGCTCTCAGTGAATTCTTTTAAGAACCCTTTAAAAGATGCTAATGGATCTTTCTGTGTAAATCTCAGATTTAAATTTAGAACAATAAGTCATAAATAGATTTACACAGAGAAAGCTCGATCTAGTTAGAAATTGCTTTCTAAAAGCGTGTTTTGCTCGCTCGTTCTGCCTCTTTCCGCGGCGGCCGCGGGTTGGCACCGCCGCGGGGCCGGGGTCGGGCCGCGGCGGGACGGCGGAGGCGGCCGGGCCCGCCAGGCCGCGCCGAGC